GGGAAGTTTTGGAATGAAACTTATTGGTCATGAAATGAGTTTTGATTTAGGGTTTCAATCGTTTTGAAATTATTGTAAGGTTTTTATAAAAAATATAGTTAGTAATACTTAATCCAGTGAGTCGGATTAGGACTTAAATAATTTAAGTAATAATTTAATAGGAATAAATAGGAAGTGTTGAAATGTATAAACGTATAAGTTATTGAGAATAGTAGAAGTAGGGCGTTTTTCTTGTATGGATATTTTCTGGTCCGTAGTAATGACATTTGAACGGATGTGAAATAATTTTAATTGGGATTTTATATATATGTAATAAAATATAATTTAGTAAACCTCAATAGTTTGTTTCTCTCTTTTGCGAATAGACCCTCCACAATTTTATAGGTAGCAGCTCCAAGGAAATAAACACCATCAATATACCGCTCGCCATTTACCATCTAACCAATTAAATAGAGTACTTGGGGCGTTTTGCTACAGTGTGTTTAAGTAGATCTCAACTGGAGAATAATACTTGTGTATGGTCACCATACTATCAGTGTCACAGAGATAGACTAAAAAGACTGCAGCGCAAATTTTTGTGTCACATTAGATTTAAATTGGGACTTGATGTTGAAACATGTACTTATGATCATCTACTGAAAATGCTGAATATGAAATTCTTGAATGAAAGGAGAATTAATTTTGATAAAGTATTTATTTATAAAATACTTAGGGGGCTTATAGTTTGAGGAATTGTTTTGTAGTGACGCAGAAATAAACCACCAAGAAAACAATTAAAGGTTCTGATTATTCTAAACAACTAAAGACCTAGGATCCAACTACCGAAAATTAATCAAGAATAAGGACTTATCAAACAACCATACCAGGAGAGATCATCACTTAGACAGCACAACCAGAAACTTCAATTAAAATCTGAACATCGATATCCAGAAATTATTGAAAGCCGATACTCTATATTGTCTAATACATTGGGAATGTGACTAAAGCAAAAGTTCATGGACCTTTTTTTTAAGTTCTTTCAACAATTAACATTCCAAAGGAGCCGAAAAATTACTAAAAGGATCAATAAATCATGCACGAGCCTATATGATGATACCCACTTAACAAAGTACCTAGCGACGCCCTTGATAATTAATCAAAAGGGGACCAAATACACTAATTGATCGGATGATTCAACACGAAAAATCGAGGTCAGAAAGAATAAAGAGATTCAAGACAATGGAGGGACCAATGATATAAAAAGGCAACTTTGGCAGGAGAAAATCAGTGTTCGAGTAAACCGTCAGATCTACGGCGTCAAAGACCAGTGTCGGTTGAGTAACCAAGAAACAAGTAGTAATCAAGAATCGAGAGACTTGTGTCCAGATAGTCAGAACTACGGAGTGAAAAAGTTGTCGAATTAACCGAGAGAAGAACCACGACGTGAATTTAACAGCGCGAAAATATTCGATTTTTTTTTAAATATTATTGTTAAATGTAAGTAGAGTTTTTTTATGTTCAGCCAGAATATGTGAAAGCAAGAGTGTGAATCGATTCAAACTGTAAATAAATTACTTGGAATTATATAAATTTTCCTTGACAATTAATTATTGTTCCTTATTAGAAATCTAACAAATTTATTGTAAGATTATTTATTACCGACGCCTGTTAATTAATAACAAGCATTAATTATTTTAATAAAATAAACTTTATTTTAATTGGCAACAATATTTCTGTGTTTTACTCTCTACCCGCAAATTGGACCCACTTTAAATTGTGTCTACACTCAGAAACCGAAGTCACCGCTCGCAAATTCAACATCTTGTTAAATTTCTGAATTTGGGGTCTCACAGTTTGCACAAATTCGGTGGGGTGGTTTACCCCTTGGTAGCTAGCTATCCATTCTCAACTCACCATTTACAATCAAGTCAAGGAACGACTATAAATTCGGCCCTAAGTCGCACTCATAGAACGGTAAATTTATCTTGCAGTTATAGCTACCAACAAGTTTATCTGAAAATTAATAAACTGACCCTCATAAAATCGAAACTTTTCTCAAATACTTACAAAAATTTGGAAATTTTATGAAACATATTTACTGGTATTCAGGGTGTAAACCCAGTCATTTCGATTGAGTTGATACAGGGACCAATCAAGTCAACTATAGAAATTGTATTGGCTAACTTTGGGTGCCTTTACATCACTAATGGCCGGTATTATAAAACACTGAAAACACTCACATATCTGGGATACTCAGTAATACCGGCCCGAAGGGCCGGAGTTATATGCGAGCCCGAAGGGCCGGAGTTATATGCGAGCCCGAAGGGCTGGAGTTATATGCGAGCCCGAAGGGCCGGAGTTATATGCGAGCCCGAAGGGCCGGAGTTATATGCGAGCCCGAAGGGCCGGAGTTATATGCGAGCCCGAAGGGCCGGAGTTATATGCGAGCCCGAAGGGCCGGAGTTATATGCGAGCCCGAAGGGCCGGAGTTATATGCGAGCCCGAAGGGCCGGAGTAATACGAGCCCGAAGGGCTAGAGTTATTTTAATCACGGGGCCTAGTTTATAATTCTATTGGTGAGCAATAATTTAGAGCTAATTGAAAACCGGGAGTATTTAAAATGCGATTTCTAACGTCCGATCAAAGAGTCAGGAATATTCAAAAACTTTAGTTTTATCAAATTGGCTTTGGAATGTTGGTTTTCTTAAGATTTTTATTTTTTCCAGAAAACGGTGGTTTTTGCAAACATATACTACTTTATCATTGTCTTTGTCTTACTCACTATAATCGATAAGTAAACGTTTAAATGTAATTTTCATTGAAATTAAACTAAAAACAAGTTTCCTATAATTTATTTGGGGAATTTTAATTATTATAATCATTATTAATTAATTATTAAATTGAATTTTAAACAAAAAAACCCTTTTAAAATGTTATTTCTGTTTTCCGAAATGAGATGTGGCAACGTTGCTTTTAGTTGGCCATTTTGAAGTGACGCCTTGTAATTTTTTGCCAGTTTTTCCTCGAATTTTTCACTTTTCCGGGGGTTTTCAATGGAAAAAGGCAATTCAACATACGAGGCTTTGAGTTTTCTTCATTTTCTAGCAAAAATGTCCAGTTTTAAAATGACATAAATAACAAAATCCCATTTAAAATGTTTTTTTTTTGGAAGTTTTGATGTGGCAACACCGTTTGTACCAACTTCAAATAGGTTTTGTAATAAATGTCATTTGCCAGTTTTGACAGTCGGCAATTTTTAATTGACGTGTTTACATTTCTATTCAGTTTTTCCTCGAATTTTCCACTTTTCCAAGCCGTTTTCAGTCAAGAAACCCGATTTATTTGAAATACGAGGCTTTGAATTTCCTACATTTTGTGCTAAAAATTCCCAGTTTTCCAATGGGGTAAGTGACAAAAACTCAAATTTCATTAAGTAGGCTTTGGAATGTCATTTTTAGAGGTTTTTCTTTGAATTTGTCCGCTTTTCCAGGGCTCTTCTGGTCGGAAAAACCGATTTAAAGTACGAGGCTTTGACTTTTCTTCATTTTCCACCAAAAATTTCCAGTGTTTTAACGGGGTAAGTGAGAAAAACTTTAGTTTTATCAAGTAGGTTTTGGAATGTCATTTTCGTTGTTTTTGTTTTTGGAATTTTTATTTAAGGTTTTTGGGGTCCGGGGATCGTTTTCTATCACTTTTTTTCTCGAAATTCGCGAAATAAAAAAAAAAATTCTTTTTTGACGTTGACAGCTGTCAATTTTTTTTTGACACAAATTTATAGTTGGCGTCGCGAAACTGCCTTGTACCGGGGTTTGGTTTTCGTAGCTTTTATAGTAGAGCGGGAAAAAAGTCGAACATGTGTCAAATTTGACAGGTGACATTTGTTAATATTGCCAAAGTGTCGTGCGACAAAAGTTTTATCCGACCGAACCCGTTCATTGTTAACTGATTTTTAATACTCCGGCCCTTCGGGCCGTAATCTTTGAAACAAAAAGACGTCATTTTGTATCGATTGTCGAAAAAACCCAAGGTTTGAAATTTCAATTTTTTGACGTTTGTTGTATCATGAGCAGCGTTGCCATATGTTTTTATCAAATCTTGATTTATAGGTTATTTTAAACCCAATCATTGACATTTCTGAAAAATATTTCCTTTAAAATTCCCAAATATCCTTTGGAATCTCCAAAAATCTGTTAAAATCTCAGAATTCCATAATTTAGTGGAATTTCGGTAGAATAATAATGTTATTCTGAAAAAGGAATTAGATGAGAAATTTTTGCGGAGTTTCCATAGAATTCACATTAAATTTTAATTCCTCTCGAATTACTTGAAATTTCAGTGAAATTCCGATCGAATTACACGAAATCCTAAATGAATTACATGGAGGAATTTTAAACAATTACATGAAATTACACTGAAATTCCCAACATGAAATTTCAGTTTCTACTGAATTTTAGTAATGCCGAGGAATTTCCAGCTAAAAACATGGAATTTCGGTGATATTCCGAAAAATTCTTATGAAAATAAATTAAATTTTGAAAATTCCTTGAAGTTTCATTGGACTTTCGAGAAATTTTCGGATATGAACGTGGATATTCTCATAAAATTTTAGTGAATTCCGAGAAATTTTTAAGAAATTACATGAAATTCCAAAAAAATTTATAAAAATTTTGTGGAATTCCAGGATATTTTAGTGGTAAAATTTTGAGGAATTTTAATAAAGTTAAAAAAAAAATATGGAATTTTGAAATTGAAATCTTAATGGAATTTTGAGGAATTTCATGAAATCCTATACTGTAATTAGCCTCCTCACTTGAAATAGTCACGAGCCGCCAGTGGTTTCAACCTTCGGTTGACTCCATGCAAATTGATAGGATTCAACCCAAGGTTGAAACTCAACCATCAGTTCAGTGTTTTATAATACCGGCCCTAAAACATTAAGATAATTTTGTGAAAATTGTTGTTGAGCCTGGAAAAAAAAATTCAAATCGACTTTAATGAGACAACCAATAAATCTATTCCAGGTAAGAATGGTCGTAGCCAGACCAATCGAACCAAATTCAATAGATTTCGACCAATACCAATACAGAGCCCCAATCGTTCCAACCAAAATACTTACGGATCATGAAGAACTTGACCGACAATTGCTCCAAAACGGATACGCTTCCTGTTTCAATGCTAAAAAAGAGATAAGTCCCGTAGAAGAAAAAAGCTTGAGCATAAAATCTGATATTGTTTACAGCAATAACATAATCGAAAATGGAATTGATGGCAAGGAAGTTTTAAGAAAAGTTAAAAGCGTGGATATTTGTGAAATTACTAATAATAATTTCAATTTTAATAATAACTACAATAATTATAACAGGTGAGTATTTATATATGGGTATTTATGTTTTTGTATATTATAAATCTTTTTTAGTAGGGACTTAAAGCAAGCTGACGATGACCAAATAAGTCCAGTAAGTACAAGTCACATAATAGTCACCCCAATTGATTTTGAACTTGAAATTCCCGAAACGGAAAGGTATTCGGTTGAATTGAAAAAAAACGAGTCCGGATTGGGTATTACTATAGCCGGCTACGTTTGTGAACGTGAAGATTTGAATGGCATTTTTGTGAAAAACTTAAGCGAAGGTTCACAAGCCTACAAATGTGAATTGATTAATATTAATGATAGAATAATTGAAGTAGATGGTAGAGCTTTATATGACTTAACAAACTATGAAGCAGTAAAGATTTTAAAAGAAACTGGTGACGTTGTTAGTTTAACTTTTGAAAGGTATTTAAGAGGGCCGAAATTTGAGCAGCTGCAAGAAGCTTTAGCAAATCAAGAAAAAAAAGATAAAAGCCCTTTATCGCCCTCTTTGAAAACCCTAAGTTGGATTCCTATTGAGGCCAACATCGAACCTGAATGTGATTCAACAAATTCAGTCCAAAGTGAAATTTTTATAGAGGAAAATTTCCAGGCTAATTTAGAAGACGATTTGGAAACCGACATAAAAAACAAGTGGCAAGGCTTATTGGGTGACCAAGCTAATATTGTTGTTGCAAATTTAACAAAATTAAAAGGTAATATTATGAGAAAATCAGACATATATATATAATTTTCAAATTTTTTAATGTTTAGGTTTAGGAATAAGCTTAGAAGGTACAGTCGATGTTGAGTGTGGAATTGAATTACGTCCAAGACATTTTATTAGATCGATTTTACCTGAAGGGCCTGTAGGCCAAAACGGTAAACTCAGTCCGGGAGACGAAATACTCGAAGTAAATGGTCAGAAACTTTTAGGAGTACCTCACGTAGATGTAGTGAGAATTCTGAGAGAACTTCCAAACGCTGTACGATTGGTTTGCTCAAGAAAATCTATAGATAATAGGTTTGTATTTATTATTGATGAAAAACATTATACAACCTAATTGTTTTAGAGTTATCAATACTTCTCAAGATAGAGAGGCTTTTGAGCAAAGAAACATTTTGGGAGGCAGTTTGAAAAATTTGCTCCCACAACCTGAACAGCGCTTAATAAAAGCTTTAAGCGATACAAGCATACATACATCTAGTACAGTAACAGGTAAAAATTTACTATTAATGATTTTATTTTAGTGATTATATAGTTACAGACGAACCAAACATTATGAAAAAAGACAAATCTCGTTCATTGGAAATCACTCAAGTAGCACTTTGGAGCGAAGAAGTCGATTATGTAGAGCTCCAAAAAACCGACAGAGGTCTTGGCTTCTCAATTCTAGACTACCAAGATCCTGTAGACCCCAATTCAACTATTATAGTTGTGAGAAGTTTGGTTCCTCACGGTTCAGCCGAAGCGGATGGAAGAATCACCCCTGGGGATAGAGTGATAAGCGTCAACAATACGATAATCAAAAACTTCACTTTGGACCAAGCGGTGCAAGCGCTTAAAGGCACTTTGCCTGGTAGAGTTAAGTTAGGAATTTCCAAGCCTTTGCCTTCCTCTCATCATCATAGTGGTACATTGAGCAACAATACTTAAACACTTTTATGTTTATTGCAAAATACATTTTGTGTTGCAATAGGAAACTCGTAATAATTTAAAACAAATAAGTAAACGAATGGATTTGAAACAATTAAGATTATTATTTTTATTGGCTGTGTTTCATTTGCTGGCATTTATTTTTTAATTAACGCTGTGATACTCATGTTCTTGTCATTATTTTTTAGTTGTGAATGATTCTTAGCACAATCACTGCTGGCCTTTTAGAATAAATAAGGTATTTTTCCCATTATATATTGTCTTTTTAGATGTTGTTACTCGCTAAATTGTACAATAATATTATAGAATTGGGCACAATAATAATAATAATAATAAATACTTGTATTTATATAGTTATAGATTTAGGCACTTTTTATTGTAATAATTATTGAAAAATTGAATCACATATAATCTGTATTGTAGTTTTTTGTTTTTGTAATAATCATCATTGAACAATCAAAATTGTAGAAAAGGAATATAAAAAAAAAAACGATTGAAAATTATTTTCCTGTTTTAGGCTGTTTTTCAGTTGCTGTTTTGAACAAATCAAAATAAATTATAGGTACACCATAAAGAGCATTAGATTATTTATAAATTTGTGTTAAATTGAGTTTAATAGCTCAAATACTTTTTGAGAAATTGAGCCTCAAAGTTGAATTTTGGTCGAAATTAAGTCAATTCAATTTTCTCAAAAATCATAAACCTGAAAATATTTTCCTATGCAAGTTTTTTAGAGCTTAATAGGAGCTACAATTCCTGATAATTTTGATTCAATATCCCTCATGGATTTCAAGATATTCAAGCTCAAAGATTTTGAAATAAGAATCCGAAAAGGTTAGTTTGGGTTAGTTTGGGAAAGGGATGTCTGGAAAAACAACTTTATGTTAGTGAAAATTCAATGTTTTATATTAAAAATTACTTATTTATTCAGCTTCCAATATCCAACACCCAAAATACTAAAGCACTAATGTAGGTAGGTACAATAGAACCCCGGTTATCCAAAGTAACGTGGACCTCGAATAACTGAAAACTCGGATAATCCGAATTTACATATATTTATACAAGAGTGTAGGTAAATATTCGTGACTGGCCAGTTATAAACAGAAGTTATTTTATGGGGTATCAGTCTAAGGGCTAAATAGGTCTCAGAACTTTTATACTATGTATGGTATATTCTAGAAACTCGGTTAATACGGAGTATGGACCTCGAATTTTTGGGTCTTTAGACTGGCTTGATTAATCCAGAGCTCGGATAATCGAGGTTCTATTGTATATGTGAAAAATGTACTATTACCTTGCACTTACAAACCACAATTAGGATTTTTACCAGAAATAATTAATAGCCTAATATTCTACTTGGGCTCAGAATGATTCTGGACTTTATTGGGTAACGGCTTACCTAGGAAATAGAAGTCTTTGACACAATTTTTATGGATATCAAACGAAAATGCACTTTTATACAATTTATTTTTTTCTGGAAAACTACTAGAGGGAAAATTTTGAAATTTTCAGGAGAAAAAGAGAAAAGTTAGGAGATCATCAGACTAAAATTTTAAACTTTTTCAGTGAAAAATAATAAAATGGGAAATTGATGAATATGTACTTACCTTTGTCAAAAATCCGTCGAGAAGAAGATTCTTATTATAGACTCTTAGAGTCATCCGACGACTTCTGGATTCTGTTTGTTTACAGAGGGGCTCACCTGAAAACAATAACACAGCGGCAGAAAAAAATTGTTCATGTATATACAGGGTGATTAACGTAGCCCGTGCATTGGATTGCAGGTGGATTACATACACCCTCTCTATTAATCCACCTGCAATCTGGAAAATTTAATGCACAAAGCAAGAAAAAGTCCTCAAAATTTCAACTCTCCACTTACTTCAGTTTTTAAGTGAAAAAATTGTTTGTATACTTTACAAAACATCATTATTTAAAAAAAGTCCTAACTCCATTAATAATAACTCAATTCAATCCCTTTGAGTTTTTCGCATTTTTTACAATGAGTCTTTAGGAAAAGGTCCTCAAAATTTCAACTCTACACTCACTTCAGTTTTTGAGTGAAAAAATTGTTTGTAGAATATTACTTTACAAAACATCATTTTTTTAAAAAAGTCATAGCTCCATTAATAATAACTCAATTCAATCCCTTTGAGTTTTTAGTATTTTTAACAATGAATCTTCAGGAGAAGGTCCTCAAAATTTCAACTCTACACTCACTTCAGTTTTTGAGTGAAAAAATTGTTTGTAGAGTGTTACTTTACAAAACAATATTATTTTGAAAAAGTCATAACTTCATCAATTATAACTCAAGTCAATCCCTTTGAGTTTTTAGTATTTTTTACAATGAATCTTCAGGAGAAGGTCCTCAAAATTTCAACTCTACACTCACTTCAGTTTTTGAGTGAAAAAATTGTTTGTAAAGTATTACTTTACAAAACATCATTATTTAAAAAAAGTCACAACTCCATTAATAATAACTCAATTCAATTCCTTTGAGTTTTCAATATTTTTTACATTGAATCTTTAGGAAAACGTCCTCAAAATTTCAACTCTTCACTCACTTCAGTTTTTGAGTGAAAACATTGTTTGTAAAGTATTACTTTACAAAACATCATTAGTTAGAAAAGTCATAACTCCATTGATAATAACTCAATTCAATCCCTTTGAGTTTTTAGTATTTTTTACATTAAATCTTCAATGAAAAGTCCTCAAAATCTCAACTCTACACTCACTTCAGTTTTTGAGTGAAAACATTGTTTGTAAAGTATTACTTTACAAAACATCATTAGTTAGAAAAGTCATAACTCCATTGATAATAACTCAATTCAATCCCTTTGAGTTTTTAGTATTTTTTACATTAAATCTTCAATGAAAAGTCCTCAAAATCTCAACTCTACACTCATTTCAGTTTTTGAGTGAAAAAATTGTTTGTAGAGTATTACTTTACAAAACATCATTAGTTTAGAAAAGTCATAACTCCATTAATAATAACTCAATTCAATCCCTTTGAGTTTTCAATATTTTTTACATTGAATCTTTAGGAAAAAGTCCTCAAAATTTCAACTCTACACTCACTTCAGTTTTTGAGTGAAAAAATTGTTTGTAGAGTATTACTTTACAAAACATCATTATTTAAAAAAAGTCATAACTCCATTAATATTAACTCAATTCAATCCCTTTGAGTTTTTACGTACGTCGGGCAGCTATATGATTACGCTTAAGTGTAGGTCGAGCATATACAGGGTGACAATTAGAAAAGCAGCAATCAGGAATATTTCTTAGACAAAAAATACTATTAGGAAGATCTTAAATATATAACCTGTTGGATTATGGATACAGGTAAATTCGCCCCAATGACCATGAGTTTCAAAAGGTCTACTTCAGCCGTTCAGGTATAGCAGATAAGATTCTATAAGTATAAAAACATTATCTTATTTCAATTTTTGTCCTATATCCTATTTCCAATATAACCCCTCCTGTTTTGGAGATGGGGCTTGCCCCCCCTCCCACTAATGATTTTTCTAAAATGAGAAACACCCCTTTGACGCCGTGACCATTTCATTTCAGTTACAATATAGAATATGATCAATTGACTCTTCATCTAGAAAACACATAAACCATTTTTCCTGCGGCAAAGTTGAAGAGCATTCAGCTATTCTATTAAAGCCCCATTATAGGCTGAATATTTACGTTGTGCAGCTGACACCCAACACCAAATTATAATTCAACCATTTCTCGCCGGTATTCGGTAGTGCCCCACTGCTACACTTACCGTATATAGTATATTCAATGCAACAAATGGGATCCTAACCTATTATGGTGGACGGCCTCCCCAGGGGACACCAATTACCAAAAAGATATGATCAAATCCTAATTTGTTGCTCTGGATAATCAGTGAAACGCAACTTCAATAATTGTTATTAAAAACATTTACAGCAAAATGTTTTCTTAATAAATAAATAAATAAATAAATGAGATCTTCTTCATATAGTATTTTTTGTCTAAGTGTCAAATTGTCACCCTGTTTGTCCGACGTGGCCTAAATCGAAACATCACTGTCGGGCAGTTTTGCCCGATGCGACATGCAAATGGTCTCTAAAAATTTCATTTATTCGACATGACTTTACAAAATCATCTATTACTCCGTTAATATTTTATATATTTCAATGTAAAAATAACTATTCTGAATCAGAATTTAATGCTCTTCAAGATGAAATAAGTTTCATTCCAATATTTGAAACAGTTCTGAGATATGAGCTTCCAAAGTTGAACTTTTGAGTCAGATTTCCATAGATGAGCTCCTTTGATTCTACATCAAAAATTATTTTTTCGAGTTTTTCAAATTTCTGATTTCACCAGTGGGAAAATAAGGTCAAATTTGGTAGAAAAACATTGTGACAACTCTATGTTAAAGGTTTCGATATGATTTCACAAAATCATCTATTATTCGGTTTAATATTCCATATATTTCAATGTTAGAATAACTATTCTGAATCAGAATTTGATGCTCTTCAAGATGAAACAAATTTTATTCCAATATTTGAAACGGTTCTCAAGATATGAGCCTCCAAAGTTGAAACTTTGAGTCAGATTTCTATAGAGTTCCTTTGGTCTTACATCAAAAATTATTTCTTTGAGTTTTTCAAATTTCTGACTTCACCAGCCAGAAAAATAAGGTCAAATTTAGTAGAAAAACATTGTGACCACTCTATGTTAAATGTTCCAAGGCTCAAAATATATTGAAAACACGTATTGATGTACGTTATTGACTGGCTTTCCAAAAGTGCACCCAACACCTCCATGAGTGTCTCAAAAAAATTGAAAACTTTCAAATTGCCTGTTCGAAAAATACAGCTACATAACTGGATAGCTATACTATCTTTATAAAAGAGTATTATTGTGTAATGCACCTGTAGATTTTTAGCTGAAAATGTTTAGTGGACTTCCACTAGCAATTTACCCCAAGGTGTTAATATGGGTAAGTTGTGTTGGGTTAGTTGGGTGGGTGCTAGTGGTAGTGGCTTATTGAAATTTACAATAATTAAGACTTAAGACTCAAAAACATCTTTGGATAATTTCCAGTGACAGAATAGCTATATGGATTTAAAGTGTCTTAAACAGCAAAATTGTGGACAAAAATCAATTTTTTTGGGACACTGCAGCATTCTATCTCACAACAGTGGATCATTCATCCTTCACACAAGCTCATCTATACTTTCTTCATTAACGCACGTTTGGAAAGCCAAATCAAAAAAAGAAAATTAATGATGAAAATAGATACTGGAAAACTAATATTTGGACACCCTGTATATTTTACTAATTGCCAATAGTTATAGAGAATCAAATGAATTACAATTTAAATTAAAAAAAAATAAGTTGGATTGTTCGAAATTCAGACATTAGAAAAATCAAGGGTTGTTTATTCAAGATTCAATAAATCCCAAACCAAAAAATAATTGTTGGTAGTACTTACCAAAATCCAGAAGTCAATTGGTACACTATATGGGCACACGACACAATAATCTAAGCTTGTGTAAAAAAAAAATCGATAATTCTCGGACGCAACTGACGGTGCTTTATCTCCGGGGATTTATACTCGACTAAATCCAAATAAATTTAAATCCTTTTGTCCGACAAAAACCCCCACAAAAAAAGGTAAACAGATAACGTAATAAATATGAATAAGTTAGGAGCAAAAAAAATTAACTACGTGATAGAATACAGGGTGGGCCAATGAAAACTTTCCACCCCGATTTTTTGGACTTGAAATGAAAATCTGGAAAAACGCTCAGACACGTCAGTTTTTTATTTGAGGGGACCCATTTTTGAGTTTTTATCACCTCTGTAGTTTCAACCCCCTAGCTGGGGGGAGCGCAACCCCCCAAATTTGAATAGGGGATAGGGGTCGTGTCATACCTCTTTTTAAAGGACTATGACCCTAGAATTTCGTCTCATTATTTTTATTCATAACTATTTCGTCCACTCAATAGTTTTAAGTTATTTGTATTAAATTGCTAAGATTGTCCTTCATTGAATTATTTTTGTTTTGTTTATTTTGCCAATTATTTATTGGAGTACCTACATACTTTGAATTTGGAGTAAACTTTTAATCCACGATTCACCCTTCAGATTATTTTCGCGTTCTTGAATATTTGAGGTCTTTATCTACTTAACGCATTGTCCTCATACAGGGTGTCCCAGCTAAAACGAAACAGAGGAGTTTTTACATATTTAGAATTATTTAAATGAAAAACACTCGGACACGTCGATTTTTGCATGAAAGGGGACAACTTTTAAATTCATCTTTAATGACCTGCCTGTCATCCCTTAGCGGGGGCGCGTTCAACCGTTAAAAATTAAATAGGGAAAGTGGGTCGACTGACCCCTTAAATGAAAGCTCTTTAAGGCCCAGTTGTACAATCTCGGTTCAAAACAAAGTTCAACTGAACTCGACTGGTACTTGAGCTTTTCCATTTAAAATACATTGCTGTCAGCTATTAATCAAGTTCCATCATTTTTGACAGCAATGCATTTCAAATGGGGAAGTTCAAGTACCAGTCGAGTTCAGCTGAACTCTGTTTTGAACCAAGATTGTACAACTGGGCCTTAATTCTCTTTTCAACGGTACCACATTTATTGACATTTATGTCAAAAAATTTGACAATGACGGGTCCCACCCAAAACGAAACAAGGCAATTTAAAGGCATTTCTCGTTTTAAAAGTAAAAAAACGGCTAACACGTGACTCCACAACTCGCCGCTGTAAACTGGATTAGGTAAGATCTCAATTGTACTCGTAATTTTGAAACCGCAAAATACAGTCCACTTTTCTCACAGCTGATGCTCAGCTATAGACTAGATTTTCAGCCTGAAAATGAATGTTTTTGGACGTCCAAAAAATCTTGTATGGAACATATTTGTTTTCTATGAGTTGTTTGAATGCGTATGAGTGGTGATTAATGATGACAGATATTATCTTAAAACTAAGTAGGGCCTGGGCTTGGGCTTAGGTCCGATATTAGAAAAAAGGGCCCAGTGGAAAAACCAAAGATACCCCAGTCCCTAGTCGTAATACTTAACTACACAACATACCCACCTGAACTTGGGACCACAAAAGTTGGTTAAATTATTAGCGAACTATTCACTTAGTGCTGTTGGACAGTTAATATTTATTCTTACAGATCATGAACAAAAATAAACATTTTAAAAAAACAAAGCAGAAGTATTTATTGAGATAATATACCTACAAAAATTTGCCATCCAATGAGGAATGTATAAAGAGTTTAAGGAACCATCAAACTGACTATGCACTAAACTTTCTATTTTCCAGGGGTTTTTTAATCTTCAGCTCATTTCTTTATTAGAAGTAGTTTTATTTTGAGAAATTCGTGAAAAGTTTCATTTGAATCTTGAATGACAGAACTATGGGCGGCCTGCGGCCGTCCCTAGATTTGGCCGCCCGCGTGCGGGGCACGCGCTGCACACCTGCTAGGATCGGCCCTGAACAGATGGGGAAACTGATAAGGTATTTTTAGGAACTAAGACTACAGACTTACTAAAAACCAATGCAAGCACATGTCTTCAAAGGTCGCCGATACAAACGGAAAATCACACAAATGAGAAACAACCAGAAGTAGGGGACTTCGTTTTGACAGAATTTTTGACTAAAAAAAACAAGAAAATGTTACATTGGCAAAGTTTTAGAGTCCCTTGAAAACAATAATTATTAGATATGTAAGTATCATTTTAACGTCAAGTTAAAAAAACTCGATTTTCAAAAACATCAGGTTTTGAAAATATAAGCAAATTTTACTAATCAGTAAAAGTTATTTTATTGTTCTGATGTTAACGCACCAAAAACTACCCGATGCAATTTATTTCTATAGTTGACTCCGTATCAACCAACTCAATCGAAATGATTGGGTTTACACCTGCATTTTTATTTTACAATAAAGTAAATTCAAGAGCCGAAAATTAAAAAAAAAAAAATTAAATTTCAAATTGCAGCAAAGTAGTACTTTGCAGGCCTTAGTATATAGATTCAGATACTTAATATAATAAGAAAGAAATAGACACTTTTTTATTAATTGAAACCATTGCCTTATACAACAATTAAAAATTAATTAAAAAACTCCAATACAAACCAAGGTTGTATTAATTAGCGTTAATCTAATTTAAAACAACTTTTATATAAATTAAAATATATAAGCATTGATAGACTCTATAAATGTTGTTGAATTCCTACGAATAGTTTTGAATAAAAACCTTTTGCCACATCTATGTATAGCTTATCCAAAATCAAAATTAGTAAATCAACATAAACGGCATCATGATTTTGTTTCATAATGTTTGTTTTTTCTTTATATAAAAAAAACACCTTCAATACACAATAATCTGTGAATATAGATTGCGTAATAAGGTCTATAGAGATAAAACACATTTTTAATTAAAATGTTTTTCAAATGATTATTTAATGAGCAATTTAATTAACACAAAATTTTAAAGAAGTTTTATCATTATTCAAAATGATTCAGTGCAAGAATGTTTTAGTGTTATATGTAGGTGGTACTATTGGGATGCAACGAAATGAACATGGAGGTAACTAATTTGTTAAAAAAAAAATCCAATAAAATCAAGGCAATTTTAGTATACGTTCCTGTACCGAATGCATTGTTTCAAAAAATCAAAGATTCTGATATGCACGATTTTTCCCTAGAAAATCATTTACCACTAAATTTGAGGCATGATGAATTGGTTTTACCGTAAGTACTTTTCTAGAGCAAATTCAATATTATAATAATTCAATTATATTGAAGACTTTTTGGATCAACAGCAGTTGTATACAAAATTGAAGAATACAAAGTTTTATTAGACTCTAGCAACATGTCCACTGAGGATTGGATAAGGATTTCAAAAGACATTGAAGTAATTATGATTATTTTGCAAAATGTTTTATAATTATTAATTTGTTTATAGAAAAACTACTACAAATTTGATGGATTTGTTGTGTTACATGGGACAGATACTTTAGCCTTTACTGCTTCGGTTTTATCATTTATGTTGCAGAATCTTCAAAAACCTGTTATAATTACTGGATCACAAGTAAGTTGTTATTATTGAATTATTGAATAAATAATATAATTATTATTTTGAGATTCCTATATTTGAAACAAGAAGTGATGCAAAAGACAACTTTTTGGCTTCTTTAATTTTTGCGGGCTGCTACGATATACCTGAAGTTTGTGTGTGTTTTGCCAATAAACTACTCAGAGGCAACAGAACAACCAAAATCAGTTCGAATTTATTGAATGCTTTTGATTCACCCAATTATCACCATTTGGGAAATGCTGGAATCGAAATCCGATGTAAGAATTTTCAAGAATCTGCACTAAATATAAAGAGGGGTTTTGTTTTAGTGCATCAACATTATATCCGTAAGAAATCGTCTTCTAATGGGTATTTTGCAGTGAATACTTCTTTGAATTGCAATGTTGGTACCCTTACTTTTTTTCCAACTATAACTAGTTCACAGGTAATAGTGATTGAACTAAATTATTTAGGGATAAACAGGTAGAAATTTAAGTAACTATAGGCAGGGCCGTAGCTAGAGTTGTGATAGGGCATGACAAATTTGACATAGGGCATACACTTTTGCACCCCCCCCCCCCCCCCCCTTAAATTATAAGTAAACAATCCGGTGGTAATGGCGCCGAAGGCAAATTTTTGGCAAGTAAACAAAATGGCGCTGATTCTGGGGCCGCCTTAGACCATTTGCACTAAGGATAATACACACTAAAAGTGAAATCCATTGGTAAGTTCAGTGCGAACTGAGTGCATTCGTGTCCTCTTCTACTAGCATGATGTAAAAGAAAGTGACAGAAATACATGTTTTTTTGCACTAATTTCACCAATGGTTTTCGCCATAACTACAGTGGCGGCTCGTCAAAGGAGGCAGGGGAGGCTGAACCTCCCTTAAAAAATTGAAAATTCAATCTCAATTTTTCCTGATTTCTAATTAAAATAATAATTAACAAATTACACTTTCCAATTTTCGATATTTCAATGTAATTTAGAAAAGTCTGAAAACATTATTTCAATCAATCCCGCGCCTCCACGACAAATATCTGTGAATCTGGGATACTCAGTAATACCGGCCCGAAGGGCCGGAGTTATATGCGAGCCCGAAGGGCCGGAGTTATACGCGAGCCCGAGGGGCGGAGTTATATGCGAGCCCGAAGGGCCGGAGTTATACGCGAGCCCGAGGGGCGGAGTTATATGCGAGCCCGAAGGGCCGGAGTCATATGCGAGCCCGAAGAGCCGGAGTTATATGCGAGCCCGAAGGGCTAGAGTTATTTTAATCACGGGGCCTAGTTTATAATTCTATTGGTGAGCAATAATTTAGAGCTAATTGAAAACCGGGAGTATTTAAAATGCGATTTCTAACGTCCGATCAAAGAGTCAGGAATATTCAAAAACTTTAGTTTTATCAAATTGGCTTTGGAATGTTGGTTTTCTTAAGATTTTTAGTTTTTTCAGAAAACGGTGGTTTTTGCAAACATATACTACTTTATCATTGTCTTTGTCTTACTCACTATAATCAATAAGTAAACCTTTAAATGTCATTTTCATTGAAATTAAACTAAAAACAAGTTGCCTATAATTTATTTGGGGAATTTTAATTATTATAATCATTATTAATTAATTATTAAATTGAATTTTAAACAAAAAACCCTTTTAAAATATTATTTTTGCTTTCCGAAATGAGATGTGGCAACGTTGCTTTTAGTTGGCCATTTTGAAGTGACGCCTTGTAATTTTTTGCCAGTTTTTCCTCGAATTTTTCACTTTTCCGGGGCTTTTCAATGGAAAAAGGCAATTTAACATACGAGGCTTTGAGTTTTCTTCATTTTCTAGCAAAAATGTCCAGTTTTAAAATGACATAAATAACAAAATCCCATTTAAAATGTTTTTTTTTTGAAGTTTTGATGTGGCAACACCGTTTGCACCAACTTCAAATAGGTTTTGTAATAAATGTCATTTGCCAGTTTTGACAGTCGGCAATTTTTAATTGACGTGTTTACATTTCTATTCAGTTTTTCCTCGAATTTTCCACTTTTCCAAGCCGCTTTCAGTCAAGAAACCCGATTTATTTGAAATACGAGGCTTTGAATTTCCTACATTTTGTGCAAAATTCCCAGTTTTCCAATGGGGTAAGTGACAAAAACTCAAATTTCATTAAGTAGGCTTTGGAATGTCATTTTTAGAGGTTTTTCTTTGAATTGGTCCGCTTTTCCAGGGCTTTTCTGGTCGGAAAAACCGATTTAAAGTACGAGGCTTTGAGTTTTCTTCATTTTCCACCAAAAATTTCCAGTGTTTTAACGGGGTAAGTGAGAAAAACTTTAGTTTTATCAAGTAGGTTTTGGAATGTCATTTTCGTTGGTTTTTTTTTTTTGGAATTTTTATTTAAGGTTTTTGGGGTCCGGGGATCGTTTTCTATCACTTTTTTCGAAATTCGCGAAATAAAAAAAAAAATTCTTTTTTGACGTTGACAGCTGTCAATTTTTTTTTGACACAAATTTATAGTTGGCGTCGCGAAACTGCCTTGTACCGGGGTTTGGTTTTCGTAGCTTTTATAGTAGAGCGGGAAAAAAGTCGAACATGTGTCAAATTTGACAGGTGACATTTGTTAATATTGCCAAAGTGTCGTGCGACAAAAGTTTTATCTGAACGAACCCGTTCATTGTTAACTGATTTTTAATACTCCGGCCCTTCGGGCCGTAATCTTTGAAACAAAAAGACGTCATTTTGTATCGATTGTCAAAAAAACCCAAGGTTTGAAATTTCAATTTTTTGACGTTTGTAGTATCATGAGCAGCGTTGCCATATGTTTTTATCAAATCTTGATTTATAGATTATTTTAAACCCAATCATTGATATTTCTGAAAAATATTTCCTTTAAAATTCCCAAATATCCTTTGGAATCTCCAAAAATCTGTTAAAATCTCAGAATTCCATAATTTAGTGGAATTTCGGTAGAATAATAATGTTATTCTGAAAAAGGAATTAGATGAGAAATTTTTGCGGAGTTTCCATAGAATTCACATTAAATTTTAATTCCTCTCGAATTACTTGAAATTTCAGTGAAATTCCGATCGAATTACACGAAATCCTAAATGAATTACATGGAGGAATTTTAAACAATTACATGAAATTACACCGAAATTCCCAACATGAAATTTCAGTTTTTACTGAATTTTAGTAATGCCGAGGAATTTCAAGCTAAAAACATGGAATTTCGGTGATATTCCGAAAAATTACCATGTAATAACATGAAATTTCAATATATTTCGATGAATTTTTAAGAAATTACTTGAAACTTCATTAATATTCCCAGAAATTCCTGGCTATTAAAAGAGAATTTCAGTGAAATTCCGAAAAATTCTTATGAAAATAAATTAAATTTTGAAAATTCCTTGAAGTTTCATTGGACTTTCGAGAAATTTTCGATTATGAACGTGGATAGGTATTCTCATAAAATTTTAGTTAATTCCGAGAAATTTTTAAGAAATGACATGAAATTCCAAAAAAAATTATGAAAATTTTGTGGAATTCCAGGATATTTTAGTGGTAAAATTTTGAGGAATTTTAATAAAGTTAAAAAAAAATATGGAATTTTGAAATTGAAATCTTAATGGAATTTTGAGGAATTTCATGAAATCCTATACTGTAATTAGCCTCCTCACTTGAAATAGTCACGAGCCGCCAGTGATATCTACTACTACTATTACAGGATAGCTTATCATCATAAGGCCTGTGTATATCAAATCTCAAGTCCCCCACCACGCCAAAGAACCAGTGATTACATAGGAAGCGTGTCGTTTCTCGCCTTGACGTAGGGTGTTTTCACCACAGGTTATGATTCCATGATAACATTTTTCATCAAAAATGTATATTCTAAACTACGACCGCTTGCGCAAACATCCTTGCATTTGCACTCTTTCGAAACGAAAAACTTCCTCTGTGTAAACGTCAAACATTGTTGCACATATATAGGAGTTTTCGGTAACACTTATCCTCGCACTCGCTCGATTTCAGGCCTTTTCATTATCTACTCTTAAATTTCCTAGAGAAACCTTAACGCACGTTGCGTTTTGAAGGTAGGGCATGATCATTTGAAAGATAGGGCATTGCCCCCCAATGCCCCCGCCCTGGCTACGGCCCTGACTATAGGTACTTTATCTAATTGCTCAAAGTAGATGTAAAATGTATTTATATTACGTTTATGTAAATCAAAATTTGAACTATTCTCGGCTCTTGAATTGCTGTCAAACAATTTTTCTATAAATTCAAGAGCCGATAACAATCAAAATTTGCGGCTGGATAATTTTCCTAGAGAGAATCAATATCCATTAATGATTGAATCATTCCTCAGTTATCCACATCCTAATGATCACTACTCGAAAAACTGATTGAATTACAAATATTTCATGATTTTTTCTGGAAAAATTACTCAAGAACCGCTGAAAATAAAAATTTGAACTATTATCGGCTCTTGAATTGCTACCCTTGAACAATTTTTCCAAGGATTCAAGGGCCTACTTAAACCTGACATTATGCGTCACACGTCACAATTTAACTTAAATTTTATCCCACTAATGGCCATTTGCACGGCTATCATTTAAGGGATACTTAATCTGAATGGAGTTTTGAATGTGACTTTTGTTTCTACAAATATCTGAAATTTATATACTTAAGCTGTGTTTACTGGAACTTATTTACATTTTTTTTGTTCTAGCTAGAATCATTCCTAAAACCTCCTACAGAAGGCCTAGTACTGCAAACTTACGGTGCAGGCAACATACCTTCAAACAACATAAAAATACTACAGGAAGCAGTAAATAGAGGCGTTATAATTGTAAACGTGAGCCAATGTTCCAAAGGGGCTGTTTGTGCAGACTACGAAGCAGGAAAAGTAAATTCCTGATCCAAAAATTTCAACTAAGTACTCCAAAGTTTGAATATTTTTAGAAACTGGAAGAAATTGGTATCATTTCTGGTTGCGATATGACTTCTGAAGCAGCCTTAACGAAGCTCATTTTTGTTTTAGGACAACCAGGAACTTATGAATCTAGAGTCAAAGTAACAATTATTTTTATTGGGTTTGAGCTGGAGTAACAATTTGTTTTGTAGATGCTGAAATTGAATCTTTGTGGAGAGGTTACTACAGATGAGGCAAATAGTAATTACTTATGATGTTTAGTACAATTATTATAGTCAGTTTGTGAAACTCTCTTATAATTTATTAGGTACTAAAAATCTTAATACAAAGTTATAAATAAATAAATAATTAAATCTAAATACTATTTCTTGTACAAAAGGTAATTAGTGCAACAACACGCAGTAATCAATTTGTGTTCCCTACAGGAGTTTGCATGCAAAAATCCACAATCTGCGTACTGACATTGATATGGCAATTGATCTAAAATATTTAAAAAAATATATAATCAACAATAATAATTAAACAAAATAGTTACCATAAGGATTATTAGGATTATTGCAGCAACAAGAATCGTGAAACAATTTCTCGCTGCAATAATCGTAAACGGATGAATCGCAAAGGGGGCATCGGCGTTTCAAAGGGCTGCTAAATGGTCCGAACGAGCCGAAAGTTGGATTTTGTTGTTGTTGTCTCAGCCCTATTCTATTAGTCCAAGGTGAGGCACCAAAAGATGGATTTGAGGCTCCAAAAGGAGAATTTGAGGCACCAAAAAGAGGTGAATTTGAGGCACCGAAAGGTGAATTTAGACTCGATGAAAACGAAGAATCGATTGCGTTGTTGAATATTGCTGAAAAAAAATAAATTTGTCAATGTGTATTTAAATTTATTCCTGAAATTTTTATAAAGTTCCTCTCTGAGAGCTTCTGAAGAATACTTAATGATAAAGAGTGACTTTAGAAGTTTCAGGATTCACTAATTGAAAAGTGTGTTTATTAAATAAATCAAAATGGAAATGAATCTGAGGCCTAGAAATAGAATTATGAATTTTCTTCAAAGTTGATGCTGAAAATTCTTCTAAAATCACATTTGAAATTTTTTGAAAAATACTTAAAGGGGCCAAAGCGACTCAAAACTTTCAGGATTTATTAATTGAAGTGTTTTCATTACGTAAACCAAACTGGAAGTAATTTGAAGTGAATCTGAAGCCCAGAAGTAGAATTATGAACTTTTCTTCCAAATTGATGCTGAAATTTTTTGAAGAATTCATCTGAAATCACCAGCCAGCGCGACTTAAAACTTTGAGAATTTATAATTTGAAGTGTTTCCATTAAGTGAACCAAGGTGGAAGTGAATGTCTACAGAAACTCAATGAGCTGGGGAAGGAGAACAAAGTAACCCTACTCTGGGTTCCTGGACACATAGGAGTCGAGGGCAATGAATGCGCAGACGAAGCAAAAACGGGAGCGGCCACTCCCTTCACTAGGGGTCAGTTAAGTTAGCCCCCCCCCCATATTTCCAAATCGATTAAAACTTATACCATTTTTTTGCACCCATTTTGCACCGTTTTGCACCACTCGAAAAAAAATTTGCACCCCCTCAGGAGAGAGACTATATAGAAGTATTACTGGGGGGGGGGGGGGGGGGGGGGCATACTAACCATGGCCTTCAATTTAAAATAGCACAAATTGTTCTTCGAGTTTTGCACCATGAATATTGAATTTTGCACCATAAATATTAAATTTTGCACCGCAACCCTTAGGCCTTTACACGGGGTTGATAGAGAAATAGTTGGCCCCTCCCACACGCCAAATTTCATTTTAAAAGCACAAATTATTCCCCGAGTTTTGCACCATTTTGCACCATAAGTAATACATTTTGCACCGCAACCCTTAGGCCGCTACAGGGGGTTGAAAGAGAAATAGTTGGCCCCTCCCACACGCCAAATTTCAATTTATAATAGCACGAATTGTTTCTTGAGTTTACGCACTATTTTCCATTAAAAATAATAAATTTTACACCACTACCCTTAAGCTTCTACATGGGGTTGAAAAAGAAATAGTTGCCCCCCACCCACACACGCCAAATTTCAATTTATAATAGCACGAATTGTTTCTTGAGTTTACGCACTATTTTCCATTAAAAATAATAAATTTTACACCACTACCCTTAAGCTTCTACATGGGGTTGAAAAAGAAATAGTTGCCCCCCACCCACACACGCCAAATTTCAATTTATATAGCGCACTGAGTGTATTTTCATCTCTTTCTTTCAGCTTGTTAAAGAAAAAGATAGAAATATATTTTCTTTGCACTAATTCCACCATCCGGCAACGCCATCAATATGTTCTGGACTGATTCGGACTCGGTCCAGAATATAATCCGCGAACAAAGCTCGCTAATATTAATATAAAGACGGGTTACTTTTGGTTAGTCTATGGGCGCTTCCCAACGACATATTAAAGGTACGGTTTGTTAGCATAGTTCCATGATAGTACGCGACGCATAACTGACAACGTAAACGTCGTCATTGGTTCAGGTATGACGTACACTCGTTTCCTGATGTCAGTGTCAGCGTCAGAAACCGGGTGTACGTCATACCTGAACCAATGACGACGTTTACGTTGTCAGTTGTGCGTCGCGTACTATCAACCAGTGTTGTCGAACGTCAAAATACTAAATCGGGAGAAACTAACGTTAAAAATCGGTAGATTACTGCGCAAAATCGGTAGGTATGACACAAGGATAATACACAGCACTAAGGATTGCTTATCGGCCTCGTTTTCGGTAACCGCAAGCATATTGGTGTATCACCATTGCCGACGTCATTAACTAAATCGTCAGCTGTTTGCGCCAGCGGTCCTAGTTTGGAATTTAAATTTATGATGAAAAATATAATTTAATTTTGATTAATATAATAGGCAAAGAGGAAGATGCAAACGAGATCTTAACAGGAGTTGTTAATGTTAATTATTAATGTAAAATCTGTTTTTTTTTTAAAGATAATTCCCCAAGTCAAAAATTTAGTAACTATGTTGGCAAAACAAGCCTTTTCTACATAAAGAATTTGAAACAATTGACAATTTTACATTGTGTTGCCAACATAATGTCACTTTGACTTTTATCTTTAAAAAAAAAAAACAGGCTTTATAGTAAGACCAAGTATGCATAAAGCAAAAGACCGCGGATGTAAACAGCCAATGTCACGTCAAGGCGAGAAACGACGTGCTGCCACGTCACAACTGGTGATTTAGCGTAGTGTTCTACTCAGGTGTTATGAGGATAGGCTTTCCTGTAGTAGTAGTGTGTATAACCAGTGGGTATAACATAAAGACTAAAATCCAGCCATGTTTTGCTTTCAGTTTTTTATTTCGTTGTTGAGTATGTAAAAGCCCAGTGATTGTTTCCGCGGAAGTGGAAAGTCTATTTATTTGTGCTGTTCTCATTCGATTTATTGCTGAGAATGTGCGCTCAACATTGGCGGAAGAATGGGGCAATGACAAGATATTAAAAACAAATTCGGATATCACAGGACCCACGGGTATTCCCCCAAAGAAATGCACTGATATAGACTAAATCACGATAGAAAGTGAAGTTGACAGTTCGCGTTGACATTTTTAGTAAACTTTTTCTTTAGGTTGTCAGCATGCGTTAGCGCTTCGATTCCGTCAGTTGGGATAAACGACAGGGTCGTATTTAGAAGAGTGATACACATTTCAGAATAAAAATTTATTTTCAATTTTTTTAAAGCAAGTTAAGTTATTAAAATCCAAAAATCCTAAAATTAGAGTCCAAAGTAAACACTTATAAAAAGAGAAAACACTTAAATCCAAACTATAAACCAGGTTTGAAACGCAACACCGAAACACAAAGGCACAGAACACTACATAAAAAACCAAAAAACCGATTGCGATAATAACAAATAAAAAAATAATGCAGAAAACGGCAAAAAACTGAATGATTTTACACAAAAATTCGAAATTCAAAATTCAAAGACCCGAATCTGATATTTTTATGTGTCAAATCAAAATGTCATGTATCATTATTTGATAGTTGTCAGAAAAAGGGACAGATCTGGGGATTTTATTTATTTTCAACTGGTGAAAATAACGGTCAAAATTCAAACTCTATCATGAATACGACTATACCAACCATTGCTAACAAATTTGTTGTGGGAGGATCTATTTGACATCTGACGATAGAAAAATCAGCGAAAACAAAACCGATAAATTGATTTTTTTTTGGCGAAAAACGGTAAAAAAAATCGGTAGAATCGTAATTATTGTCGAAAATCGGTAAAAATTCATCAGTAGTATTCGGTATTTCGGTAGGTCCTTTGTCATTTCGGTAGAAATACCGAAATTTCGGTAGCTTCGACAACACTGCTATCAACAAACCGTACCTTTAGCATGCGCACATTAGATTTATTTGTGTCAAAAATATTACTGAAAACGCAACGTAAAAGAAGATGAGAATAATTCAAATTTTGATTATTCTTGGCTTTTAATTGGCTCTGAAATTCAAATTTCGAATATTCCCGGCTCATGATTGGTGCAGAAATTGAATTTTTGATTATTCCCGGCTCTTGATTAGCTTATTTTTTAATTTCCCCAGCTTTTGATTGGATTAGGAATTCAATTTTAAAATTTTCCCGGCTCTTGATTGGTTTAAAAATAGATTTTTTGAATTTTCCCAACTCTTGATTGAGTTTAAAATTCAATTTTCAATCATTCCTGGCTTTTAATTGGGTTGAAAATCGAATTTTTGAACATTCCCGACTCTTGATTGATTTAGAAATTCAATTTTTGATTATTCCCGGCTCTTTGATTGGCTTCGAATTTCAAATTTTCCCGGCTCTAGATGGGGTTTAAAATTCAAATTTTGATTATTCCTGACTCTTCATTGGCTCTGAAATTCAAATTTTAGATATTCCCGACTCATGATCGGTTTAGAAATTGAATTTTTGATTATTCCCGGCTCTTGATTGGCTTAGAAATTCAGATTTTAAATATTTTTGGCTATTGATTGGCTTCCAAAATCAATTTTTGAATTTTTCCGGCTCTTGATTGGGTTCAAAACTCAAAGAACATCTCACACTTCTTATGGGTTTCGATCACCGACAGATATTGTTGAAAGTCTAGTATAGTATTTTGGAAGTCGAAATATGCATTTTCTTCCACTGCATCGACCTTGCAGCGATACAGGGTGATACCAAAAAATTAGGTCAAAGATTTTCATTTTTTATTACTGTAAAATATTGTTATTTTACTTTGGAAGATAAAATCTGGCAATTTTTTTCATATTCCATGAAAGTGATATTCTTTTAATTTCTAGCATATACAGGGTGTCCCATTTTGGTTATACATAAAGGATATTTTGGTTACTATATGAGTTGGGGGGATGCGGTTTTAGTGAACTTTGGCTACTTTTTTTTTAAACGAAAGCTGCCGTCAACAAAATTGTCATCTGCCTTTTTGTTTTTCGGATGCATTTTAGGACACCCCTTGTATCTCGGTTATCTCATATCTGGTCGAAGAGGTGACAACGGTTTACTATAGATCATCTTGAGTAGATTCCAGTGTTGGAGTCAGTTTTGGAGGTGACAGTTTTTATATTATGAGCCAAATATACGGTTTTTTACATAAGACACCCTGTATATTAATAACTCATTGACTAGCTCTGCTTTTGCTGATTTCAATGATACAAAGTTTGATAGGTAAATATATATCTTCAACAGTTTTCATGAGAATTTTTTCTTATCTGTTTTTGTCATAGGAAACAATGTGTTACAAAGAGACCTTTCTCATTTTCCTTACAGATATAGAGTCCTCTAATACAAAGGTTCTTATGACAAACATAGATTTTATTTCCATTCTCAAAAACTGTTAAACATAAAACTATCGAACTCTATATTATTGAAATTAGCAAAAACAGAGATATCCGGTGAGTTATTAGAATATAGGGTGTTGTATTTAAAAATATCTAACTCTGGTCAATATGTCGAAGTCCTGCCGAAATACCAAAAAAGCTGAGAATGCCATTGGATTTTGCTTAAAAAAAAAAAACTTCAAGAAAGTTTTTACGGAAATCCATCATTTTCATAAATTAGAAAGTTATGTAGCTTTTCCTCATAAAAGAGTTTAATTTGGACCACCCTGTACAGGGTGTTCAAGATTCGATGGTTTTGCCGGGTTTCGGGGTATTTCAGGACGAGTTGGAAAAAATCTGACCCCCACTTACGAGCCTCGATTCTCAAGAGAAGTTGACTAGTGAAACCGCATCTTGATATCTTGATTTGTTTTTAAGCTACCAAAAGTTATAGACCCCTTGCCAAACTCCAAACTTTTCAAAAACACCTCGTAGCATAAAAATGACTCGACATATCGTGATGCGGTATTCACCAATCAATTTCTCTTGAAAATCGAGGCTCGCAAGTGGGAATCAGATATTTTCCAACTCCTTTAGAAATACCCGAAACTCCCCCCAAAAACCATCGAATCTTGGACACATTATTGATTATTCCCGGCTCTTGATTAATGTCCAAAGACAATTTTTTAATTTTCCCGGCTCTTGATTGGATTTAAAATTCAAATTTTGATTATTCCTGGCCCTTGATTAGCTCTGGAATTCAAACTTTGAATATTCCCAACTTATGATTGGTTTAGAAATTGAATTTTCGATTATTCCTGGCTCTTGATTGGCTTTAAATTTCAAATATTCCCGGCCCTTGATTAGCTTAGGAATTCAAGTTTTAAATATTCCCAACTTTTGATTGGCTTTCAAAAACATTTTTTGAATTTTCCCCACTTTTGATTGAGTTTAAAATTCAAATTTTGATTATTCTTGGCTCTGAAATTAAAATGTTTAATGCTCATGATTGGTTTAGAAAATTAATTTTTGATTATTCCCGGCTTTTGGTTGGCTCAAAAATTCAAATTTTGATTATTCCCGGCTCTTGTGATTGGCTCAATAATTCAAATTTTAAATATTCCCAACTCATGATTGGTTTAAAAATTAAATTTTTGATTATTCCCGGCTTTTGATTGGCTTCAAATTTTGAATATTCCCGGCTCTTGATTGGCTTTAAAATTTAAATTTTGAATATTCGCGGCTCATGATTGGATTCCAAAGCCAATTTTTGAATTTTCATATAGCTCATGATTGAGTTTAAAATTCAAACTTTGATTATTCCTGGCTCTTGATTGGCTTATGGCCGTTTGTACCGACCATTTTAAGGGAGGTTTGACGATAATCAACGTTCAAAGTGACATTTTTACATATAATAAAGTCACTTTAAACGTTGATTATCGTTAAACCTCCCTTAAAATATTCGGTGCAAACAGCTATTAGGAATTCCTAACAAACCGTACCTTAACTTTGTTTCAACACAGCTGAAAACCCTATACAATTTACCCTCGAATTTACCCAAGGATAATACACACTATACACGGATTGCTTATCGTCTTTTTTTTTTGGGTTTCAAGGTCATCTGGTGTAGCACCGTTGCTACGACATCAACTATGTCGGCAGGCTGTTTGCGCCAGTGTTCGCAGTTTAGAATATTAAAGCAGACGCCAGCAGAATTATAGCCTGTGGTGCAAACACCCTATGTTGAGGCCGGTCAAGGCGAGAAACGACACGCTGCCACGTCATCACCGATACTTTGGCACTATTTCTCTTTCAACCCCCTGTAGATGCTTAAGGGTTGCTTTGCAAAATTTAAGATTTTGGTGCAAAATGGTGCAAAATTCGGAGAACAATTTGTGCTATTATACATTGAAATTTGGCGTGTGGGGGCGGGACAACTATTTCTCTGTAGCGGCTCAAGGGTTGCGGTGCAAAATTTAATATTCATGGTGCAAAGCTCAAGGAACAATTTGTGCTATTTTAAATTGAAATTTGGCATGTGGGGGCGGGCAACTATTTCTCTTTTCACCCCCTGTGTAGGCCTTAGGGTTGCGGTGCAAAGTTTGATATTTATGGTGCAAAATGGTGCAAAGCTCGGAGAACAATTTGTGCTATTTTAAATTGAAATTTGGCGTGTGGGGGGGGCATGGTTAATTTGGCCCCCCCCAGTAATACTTCTATATATAGTCTCTCTCCTGAGGGGGTGCAAATTTTTTTGGATTTGGAAATATGGGGGGGGCTAACTTAACTGACCCCTTCACTGGACCAGAACCATTCTGCGGCGTCGGAAATGCGCACCTCCAAGAAATCCTCAAAAAGGAAGAGAACCGGCTAAGGACCAAACAATGGCTAGACCAACCAGGATTACGACAGACCAAAGATCTACTGGGTAGCTACAACCAAAAAAGATCTGAACTGCTGGCAAGAAAAGTCCTAAAACTCTAACCGGGTTTCTCTCGGGACATTGCAGACTGAATAAGCACCTACATAATCTGGGGTTGGAAGAAGGTAACACTTGCAGATTCTGTGAAGACGGTGAAGAAACACCTCACCATCTTCTGCTGAACTGCGATGCCAGAAGCCGCTCAAGAATGAAGAACCTGGGAAGTCCCCTTATACAGCTGGAAGACATTCCAGCCCTGGAACCGCTAGACATCCTAAAATTCCTAAAGAACCTAGGACTAGAGGGGCTGCTTTAAGCAGGAAACCCGAACTTAGCAGCAGAAGGAGGGGTACAATAGATCAACCTTGGTCGCAGTGCAACTAACACCTCCAACACATACATACATATAGGGTTTATTAATTAAAGTGTTTTTAACATATGAATCAAATTTGAAGTGAATCTGAAGCCCAGAAGTATAATTATGAACTATGATACTTGAAATTCTTATAAAATTCTTCTAAAATCACCCTTATAGCATTCTGAAAAATACTTGAAGCGGTCAGAGCTATTTGAAACTTTCAGAATTTATCAATTAAAATGTTTTCATTAAACGAATCAAATTGGGAGTGAATCTGAGGCTCAGAAATAGAAATATGGATTTCATACTTTCAGGGTGCCTTGATTAGGGTCTTTTTATCAAATAAAAAATCAATCCTTTGATCTGCTGAATAATTCTACAGGCAATCAAGTGCCGATAATAATTCAAATTTTCAGCTCTTTCTTATTGACGGTTGATTGTTACCTACTTAAAGAATCGTGACTCAAAACCCAATAATACTCAAACTTTTGATAATTTTATTAGCAGGACAATTCTACAGGCGATCAAGAGCCAATAATAATTCAAATTTCCAACTCTTGATTGCCTTTTAAATTCGAAGTTTTACATGATTGGAAAGCTGTTTCATTACCTACTATAAAACATACAAAGTCACTTACTTGTAGCATCACAAGCCAAACAGCAAACAACAATTAAAAAAACACTAATTTTCTTGTCCATTTTTTACTTAGAACGTCTTCTTGCGATGTTTTCTTACTGAATGCCCAAACGACAACTGATCTTTTGCAATTTAAAGTATAAATTTTGCATTTCATCTTATAACTGTACTTCTCCCAACGCCCAATATTGTGGTTTCAAGATTCCAATCCAAGTCGTTTTTATAATGTATTGGAATTTTATATAACGGGAAAATGAATCCTTTTTTGTTAAACTTCTATTTCTAATAAATTTATTTTAGGAAAACTTAAAAACAAAGTGATTTTCTTGTAATATGTTTATTGTCAAAAAATAAATAAGTACCTATAACAATTCTAAAAACAAAAACCTATTTAGCACAGCTCGAAAATAGCACAAACATTAAGTGAGCAATTGCATAATTTTTTTGGTAACGTGATGCTTAAAATAATCTAAAACTTAAAAGTAAAACCAATAAAAATAACGTTGTACTTCTATTTCTGGTACTTTGTCCATCGCTGGAACCATATTTGTCTTTCCCTATATTAAATAATTATTAGGTTTATTAAAATACCAACAAATTATACTTACATTTCCGTAATAGATATTTATCACAGCAACAAGTCCTGAGACGAGTGTACTTATTACAATCCGAAGCTATGGTACTACATAGTTGAGTACCAAAGTAGCAGGTGTGTGGGATGTATGGCAAATATTCTATAAAATATAAATCGACCGGTTATGACATAAGCAAAAGTGTGATCTGTTTTACTAATTAGTACTACAGGTGATTGTTGAATTATTTATTCCTTCTGAGAATAGAACTGTTAATGCATGGTTTGGCTCATCATTTTTTTATTTCAAGTGGAAATTGAAATTTATATAATGCATCACCTTCTAGTATAATTATTAATTGCCTTCAATTAGGCCACATGTTCAAGTGTTATAATTAAAATATTAACCTTAATTAAACGCTTGGCCATTAATTAACGGGCTGTTTTTTTTTTTAGTTGTTTCACTTACCATGAAATCGTCTATCACAACAACAATGATCGCTTATCAAATCTGAACTGGTGCAATAATGAATTTCTTCTTTGGTGCATTTCTGACATCCAGCAGGAATTATTACTAGAAAAATCAAATATTGAAGTTTTCCATGAAAGGAGGAGGCACTTCTCTTATGGCAAATGGATCTCCGACAGATTTTCCCAAAATTTGGATATGCTGTCAGTGTTGCCAGAGGTGGTACAATTGTACCAGGTTTGGTACCATTCGTTTTGAAAAAGTACGCTGGTACGACGTTGGTATATTTGGTACAATTTTCTATTTTTTTATTTTTACCAAATTCTCAAAGAGTCAGCCTACTGCCTACTTAGTCTTATGTCGATGTTCTAATTAACTTTCTGTATCCAAATTCGATATAACAATAATTTTTGATTCGTAAATAGATGGCGTCACCAAGGTAACACGTAACACCACCTTGATAAACACTCGTTATGTGGTTTTTGGTTGACGTAGTTTGTGTTTAGTTTAGGTACTCGGCAGAAAATAAAGAAAACTAGAAGCCTCGTACCTTAAATCGGTTTTCCTGATCGGAAAAGCGGAAAATCCAAAGAAAAACTATTGAAAAATGAGATTCCAAAGCCTACTTGATGAAACTTATGTTTTTTACTTACTCCGTTAAAAAAACTCGAAATTTTTGATACAAAATGAAAGAAACTCAAAGCCTCGTACTTTAAATCGATTTTCCTGATTGAAAACAGCCCGGAAAAGAGGAAAATTCGAGGAAAAACTGGATAAAAATGTAAACATGTCAAATGAAAATGGCCGACTGTCAAAAATGACAAATGATATTTATACAAGGCCTCCTTGATTGAAGTTAGCCACAAGCGGTGTTGCCACATCAAAAGCATTTTGAATGGGATTTTGCTAATTATGGCATTTAAAAGTGGAAATTTTTGCTAGAAAATGGAGAAAACTTAAAGCCTCGTATAAATTAAAAATCCCTGGAAAATTCGAGGAAAAACAGGCAAAAAATCACGAGACGTCACTTCAAAATGGCCGACTAAAAGCAACATTGCCACATTACTTCTGAAAAAAGTAAAAATCTTAAGAAAACCCGATAGAAAACTGCTCCAGTCGTGTCACGGTGATAAATAGCAGTGATTTTTTGGAACAGTTTAACCTTGATTGGTCATGCTGGTAATACATATAAATGCTACATTACATAATCGCAGTCCATCCAGTTCGCAGTCACAGCCGAGAGAGGTGTTCCAGTTTGCCCTCTGCTTAGACAAGGAAAGAGAGGGGACTCGTAACACAGCAGGTGAAAATGAAGCAGTTTGTCACCAAAAAATGTCTGCTTTTTTCATAACATAACCTAGAAAGCATATTGTTTTTTGCCTGTTAAATGTAATCCCGTCGACTTTTTTTTCTTTGCGGGTTTTGCAGCCATACGCTAGCAATCCATCATGCTGAATATCACAAAAATGTTAGTCTGAAGTAAAATTCACATAGTGGCACCATGAAAAATTGTCGCCATTATTTGGTGACAAGCGGTCACAACCAGCTGCTAGTGCAGGTGAAGGATGTTACGCGTCCTCTCTTTTTTCTTGTCAAAGGCCCTCTGCAATAGCAGTTTCTGTTTGACGTCACCGCGATGCGATTTACAATAATATTTCATTATTTGGATCACTTTGACTTGAGTTTAGTCCGCGCTGCATCTGCATCGGTGAGTGAAGCAGTGACAAAGTCACAGTTCGTGAAATCGCAACCCACCTCTAAAACTGAGTACTTGAAGTGCATCCTACTTTTTCTTTGTTTCACTTATTTATGTACCTAGGCCTTGTAATGTAATGTAATGTCTTTTGCCACTTTTGACAGCCGAGTGTTTTTATCCAGCTTTTTCTTGAATTTTCCGGTTTTTCAAGGATTTTCAATCAAAAAAACTTGTTCAAAGTACGAGGCTTTGAGTTTCCTTCATTTTCTGACAAAAATTTCCAGTTTTCCAACGAGGTTAGTGTTCAGAACCTTGGTTTGATCAAGTAGGCTTTAAAATGTTGGTTTTCCATTGAACTTTCCACTTTTCCAAGGCTTCTTCAATCGGAAAAAGACTGTTTTGAATGCAGGGCTTTCAATTTGCTTCAATTTTTCACCATAAACTTCCATTTTTAGACTAAAATAGTATCCTACTTTATCTCTCTCTTTGTCATACTCATTACCAAATTATTAGTCGGCCATTTTGAATCCAGGTTTTCTTAGAATTTTCCACTTTTTCAGGGTTTTTTTAGTCGAAAAAACTGGTTTAAAGTACGAGGCTTTGAGTTTTCTCCATTTTCTGCTAGAAATTTCCAGTTTTAGATCCATTTATTTACGGTTAAAAGGTAAGTGAAAAAAAATATTGAAACGCAAGTTTTTGAGGACTTAATTAAGGAATTTCTAATTTTAAAATTTTTTATTATTTATTTAACGAGTTTTTAATTATTAATTAACAAGTAGAATCCCATTTAAAATGATTTTTTTTGGAAGTTTTGTGATGTGACAACACCGCTTGTAGCAAACTTCAAGTAGACCTTGTAATAAATGTCATTTGCCATATTTGACAGTCGGCCATTTTCAATTGACGGGTTTACATTTTTGTCCAGTTTTTCCTCAAATTTTTCGCTTTTCCAGGCCGTTTTCAATCGAGAACACCGTTTTAAAATTTGAGGCTTTGAGTTTTCTCCACTTTCCACCAAAAATTTGCAGTTTTCCAATGGTGTAAGTGACCAAAACTTTGATTTTTGAAGTAGGCTTTGGAATGTTGGTTTTCCATTGAATTTTCTACTTTTCCAGAGATTTTTCAATTGGAAAAAGATGATTTTAAAGGCGGGGCTTTGAATTTGCTTCATTTTTCCACCAAAAATTTCGATTTTTAGACTTAAATTGTTTCCTACTTCATCTCCCTCTTTGTCTTTCTTACTATTAAGCAGGCCTTGGAATGTTATTTTTATTGAAATTTATTAAAAATAAGATTCCAATGCATTATTTTCAGAATTTAACATTTTATAAACATTATTAATTAATTATTTAAACAAAAAATTACTTTAAATGTAATTTTTTCCTATTTGAAATGTCGCAACGTCGCAAAATGTCATTTCCCAGCTGTTTCCCAGTTTTGACAATCGGTCATTTTTGAATGTTTTTATCCAGTTTTTCCTGGAATTTTCCACTTTTCCAGGCTGTTTTCAATTGGAAAAACCGATTGAGAAGACGATGCTTTGAATTTCCTTCATTTTTTGCCAAAAATTTCCAGTTTTTCAATGGGGGTAAGTGATTAAAACTCAAGTTTTATTAAGTAGACTCTGGATTGTCATTTTTACGGGATTTTCTTTGGATTTTCCGCTTTTCCAGTGCTTTTTCGATCGAGAAAACCGATTTTAAGTACGACGTTTTGAGTTTTCTTCATTTTTATCCAAAAATTTCTAGTTTCAAATACTAAAATTAGGGGTAGATAAGGTTTTTTTGCCTCTGTTATAAAAAGTAAGCACTTGAATTACATCCTACTTTATCTCTTTCTTTGTCCTACTTAGAGGGTTTTAGAGCTACTTTGCACACTAAATTTAGCTGAAAAAACGGGGCTCCGTATCAAAAAATGGGGGCTCTCAAAACAAAAAACAAACAAACGCCATTTTGAATTATTTGTCAAAAATTACAAGGCCTACTTTGACTTTGATATGTCAAATTTTTTGACGTTTGCGTCAGGGTTGCTGCAACTTTTGTGCCAGGGTTGCTACATTTTTTCGTCCCTGTAGGCCAATTTGTCAATATCGAGTCACCTCCGGGTTGGTTTTAACTAGAGGTGGGCCAACCTGCGATTTTACTGGAACTGTAACAAGACGTGACTGCTCCAGTCGTGTTACGGTAACAAATAACAGTGACTTGACTGGCCGTGCTGGTAATACATATAAATGGTACATTACATAATCGCAGTTCGCCCAGTTTACAGTCACGGCCGAGAGAAATGTTCCAATCTTCCCTCTGCAGTAGCAGTTTCTGTTTTGCGTCACCGCAATGTGATTTATAATAATATTTCATTATTTGCATCACTTTAAGTTGAGTTTAGTCCGCGCTGTATCGGTTAAAGATTGAAGTGGCCGTGACAAAATGTCACTGCTACTT